TATAGTGTATATGAGCGTATATGTATGTATGTGTATGTATATACGAGGTCTGTTCAAAAAGTACCCGGAATTACTAATAATTAAATTTCGCGGGTCTGGAGTGTCTGATTGTCAATTTTTTTTTTATTGTGTTGGTATACATGCCCCTAAAGTATGATGAAATTTTCAGCTATATTCACTGTTTACTTTGTCTGTGGTAGTCGCTAAGGTTCGACGTGTTTTTCTGAGCTCGGCGATTTTTACAATGGAAGAATTGAAAAGTCAAAGAATTTGTATTAAATTTTGCGTAAAAAATGAAATAAAGTGTTGCAAAGTGCAAAAATTCACCAGATATGGCTCCGTGTGACTTTTTCCTATTCCCAAAGTTGAAGAGACCCATGAAAGGACGGCGGTTTTCCTCGATTGAAGAAAATCGCTGAGAGTGCTCAAGGACATATCAAAAAGTGAATATCAAGGGTGCTTCGAAAATTGGAAAAAACGCTGGCATAAGTGTATTATATCTGGGGGGGACTACTTTGAAGGGGACCACATTAATGTAGACGAATAAATAAATATTTTTTTGAAAAAACGAAAATTTCGGGTACTTTTTGAACAGACCATGTATGTATATGTATGTTTTATGTATATTATATTATATTATAATTTTAATATTTATAGTGGATGGATGCCCAAGAACAACTTTATCATATATATATATATATATATATATATATATATATATATATACACCTAAGTCTGTTTTTACACGGTCTTTTTGTACACGGTTTTGATATAACACGGTTTCAAAATTGAATATTTTTAATTTTTTACACGATTTTACTCCATTTAGCACGATTTGAAATTTTATGTACTTAAATTTTTTTGTCAAATTTAATTTTTGCGATGTAAGTTCATATCACAAAAAAGTACTTATGAAAGAAAAAAGTCTGAAACCATCGATAGTATCGATACTAGCTTAAAGATTTAAGTAAATTCCCCTTTAGTGCGTACAAACAATTTTTACTGGTCAAAGCAAATGTGAATAGCACTAATTTATATTATTAAAATAAACATGAATTCTTGTTCTTGAAAATTCTTGTTTTTCACTAATTTTAATAGGTTTTAGAAAGTAGGACAAATCACCCATTTTTGTATAAGATCAATGTCTTTTTTTACACGTTTTTTTTTTACGCGGCTTCTTCTGGAACCAATCTCCGTGTAACAACAGACTTAGGTGTATATACATATATAAATATTGTATGATTCTGAATTTGATGTTGACACATGTATTAACAAAGTCGGACATAACATCTATAAAAAACATGAATTTCTTTCAAAACTTCATTTCGGCTATAATCCTAGCCTTCATTCAGTGGAAAGGGTTTTTGAAAATTGAATAAAAGTATTGGTGAAAATATTTTAAAAAGTTTTTTATCCAACCAGTCTACGAATAACACATATAGTACACACTATATATTTGTGATTTTTTAAAATTAGTATTTTGTTTATATTACATAGTGTAGTGCATTACCATATTCTGATACTGATAATAAGTACTATTTATTCTGTATGTATGTATATGTATGTTTTATGTATATTATATTATATTATAATTTTAATATTTATAGTGGATGGATGCCCAAGAACAACTTTATCATATATATATATATATATATATATATATATATATATACATATATAAATATTGTATGATTCTGAATTTGATGTTGACACATGTATTAACAAAGTCGGACATAACATCTATAAAAAACATGAATTTCTTTCAAAACTTCATTTCGGCTATAATCCTAGCCTTCATTCAGTGGAAAGGGTTTTTGAAAATTGAATAAAAGTATTGGTGAAAATATTTTAAAAAGTTTTTTATCCAACCAGTCTACGAATAACACATATAGTACACACTATATATTTGTGATTTTTTAAAATTAGTATTTTGTTTATATTACATAGTGTAGTGCATTACCATATTCTGATACTGATAATAAGTACTATTTATTCTGTATGTATGTATATGTATGTTTTATGTATATTATATTATATTATAATTTTAATATTTATAGTGGATGGATGCCCAAGAACAACTTTATCATATATATATATATATATATATATATATATATATATATACATATATAAATATTGTATGATTCTGAATTTGATGTTGACACATGTATTAACAAAGTCGGACATAACATCTATAAAAAACATGAATTTCTTTCAAAACTTCATTTCGGCTATAATCCTAGCCTTCATTCAGTGGAAAGGGTTTTTGAAAATTGAATAAAAGTATTGGTGAAAATATTTTAAAAAGTTTTTTATCCAACCAGTCTACGAATAACACATATAGTACACACTATATATTTGTGATTTTTTAAAATTAGTATTTTGTTTATATTACATAGTGTAGTGCATTACCATATTCTGATACTGATAATAAGTACTATTTATTCTTTATATTTAATCTTATTATTATTTTTCACTCCAATTCAATTGTTTTAATTTGAATTTTATTTTAGTTTCCACTGAAACCATATATAGCCAAAGCTAGGGTTATAGCCAAAAGGTATGGATTTAAAAATTACGATTCTATAACATATTTATCTTGAAATAAAATTTAAATCCAAAAAATAAAAAAATAAAATCAATTGAACAATTTTTTTTTTCCAAAAGCAATTATTTTGTCATAACAACGGGAAAGTTTTTTGAATCATTCAAATCAGATGCTTCGTTCTCTCAAAATCTGCATTTTTTACATTTAGCTCTGTATCTTCAAAATGATTGGACCTGCCTTTTCCAAAAACTAATCACTTCTTCTTCCAAACATTACAAATTGAATGTTTTTTGGATCATTCAAATTGGATACTCCGTTCTCTCAAAAACTCAATTCCTATTTCCTGAACTCTTTGCTTCGTATCTCCGAAACGGCTGGACCTGCCTCTCCCAAAAACTAATCACCACTTATCACACCTTATCAATAGGAATTGAATGTTTTTTAAACCATTCAAATCGGTTGATCCGTGCGCCAGAAAACGTAAACGAAAAAATGCGAACACACAAAACACATACACACATACACATACACACATCCATTTTTTCTGAAGTATGCCAAAACGTTCAGAAACCTTCAAAACGTCGAGAAATGCAAAAATTTTCATTTTCGATTTTCGGCCCATTACTATAACTACCCTACGGGAAGTTAATTAGATAAAACTAGTTAAAAACTAAGCAACGGTGCTCGCGACTACAAAAACCAGCAACGAAAGAAAATATTATTATTATGGATTTTCAAGCATTGCCGTTTATCTTCCGATGGCAACGTCGTAAGAATGTAGGAGTATTTTTATTTTTAAGTTAAATTCAGCTTTTTTTTATTAATCTCTATAAAAGCTTACACGTGAGTGGGGTAAAAAGGATCAACTGAATCTTTACCCTGGCAAAGGTGTAAATAATAAAAAATTGATGAATATTAATTATTGATGAACGTCATATACAGTGTAATGTCTGCAATAAATGTACTCTAAAATTTATTTTTCATTGGTTAAAAAATATAGCTATTAATTCTTTAAATTCATTTTAAAATTTAAAATGAAGACATTGGATTGTATGTCTCCTGGCTGTTGCTTATTGTTAGTTTACGGGAGCTAAATATACTTTTTAAGTATACGTTATTTAATTATTTTATAAAATGTATTGTTAATTTAAAGGTTAGATTAAACAGAATTTTTATATAATCTCTAAAAAAAAACTTACACTTGGGTAGGGTTAAAAAGATCAACTGAACCTTCACACTGGCAAAGATGTAAAATATAAAAAATAGCAAATATAATAGTAAATTAAGTTCTCATTTTATCCCGCCTGTGGGGTAAATATATATCTGTGTAGTTTTAGCAATCAAGTTATTGATTCAAGGAATGCACATTTACCTTAATGTTCTTTGGTGTATCATATGTTACGTAATTGTTAATACAAAAAATAGTTGTGACTATTAAATATCTTGCATATTAACACTTTGGGGACGGCTGTCCACCACAGTGGACAAACATACTTTGTTAGGCACAGGCTTTTTTATAAACAATGACTCAGTTTGCATCGAAAATTTGAATAAATTACATATAGCAGTGATAAACAGTATTGTATTTTGAATATAATAAAGTTATTTTAGTAGAACTTTTAGCCTTTTTCTTTGCTATATAGTTTTTTTTTTATATTTAAAACGACCGAGCGCTTTTAAATATGGCAAAATGACTGGTAAATTTTGTGAATTAAGCAGTAGTGAAGATGAGTTTCAAATAGACATTCATACAGACAAATTTTACGAAATTACTATTCGCACCGAAGATAGTGATGACTGTGATGATGATATTATCTAACCAACAAAAAGAAGTTCGACAAATTAAATGAAGAGTGAAAAGACATTAGTGAATGTGCCGATTCTCCTTCAATAATCGATTTTGACATAGATCAACAAACACCTCGACTACAAATACCAAGCAATATAAGACATCCAATAGATTATTTTACTTTATATTTTACAAATGAATTATTAGACAATATAATAGAAAAAACAAACCATTATGGCAGCAAAAAAAATGAACAAATATACTGACTAATCAGTGGAATATTCTAAATGCGAGTGAAAGAAAAAGGGATTGTATTGTCTGTTCTAACAGAAAAGCACCAGGAGGGAGGCGGCGAACAACATTTTATTGTAAAACATGTCAAAATCAACCAGCTATGCATTTTGGAATTTGTTTTGAACGTCACCATTCTTTATAAAATGATCAAAAATAAATTTATATTATAAATGTATGTCCTTCAATAACCACAAATTTTTATCAAACAAATTGCATAACATACACTATGAAATCAAGTTTACAGACGGTACGAGAGATTGTTTTGAAATCGGTGCCGTCCCGAAAGTGTTAATAGCATATAAAAATATTATGCAATGAATATTTATGCTCAATCAGAAGTACAATTTACAAACAGAATATTCATTTCAGGTTACGAATGGGTGGGATGGCGCAACGAGGCTCTGACAACCTCAACAGCGCCTCTGGAAATAATATTCGAATTCGATTCAGTGAGGAATTTCAGTGCGGTCCATTTACACTGTAACAATATGTTCAGCAAGGATGTACAGGTAATTTATTCACAATAGATACGATTTATAATATCTGTTCTTGCAAAACATGCAATATGAGAGTTCAAAAAAGAAATCTAAGGTAAAATATTACTCTTTTACAGATATTTAATCAAATGATTTTGAATCAAATTAATTCATTTCCGATATTTTTTTGCACTTTAACGATACTTGCACCTTACAATTTTAATTCTTACTATCAAATCAATCTAGAATACGATACAAGACGAAATATTAATACCATATTTTAAATATTACACGAATTCCATTATACATTTCACGTATAGTAAGTGTATATCACAAGCAAAAGCCTTAAAAATTTTTATAAACTAGGTGAATGTCATATTGTCTTAAAAGAAAAAAGTTACTTGCTCATGCCGAAACAAGTAAATAATCGATTTAATTATTAAAGACGCAAAAAGTTAACACTTAATTATGAAGGAGACATTAAGTCTTCGTCATGCTCACATGTTTCGAAATTTTAGAAATTGGTTTAGATTTTTTTTGCAAAAACGTGGACCAAGAATTTTGCACTGGAGGGGAAACTGGGTAGGTTGTGCGAGGGTACGATAGTGACAGTTTCATAACAGCTAAACTACTATACTGATTTTAAGATAGGGTCCAAAGAAAGAAAGATAAAGTATGTTTATTCGAACAAGTTTCCGATATTGCTTTTAATCTGCGCTCTAGGTTAACATGACCTGTAGATCACATTGCTTTTAAAGACTCTGTTCGCGCCAATCAAAGCATGCGGTTATATTCATATAAAAAACAAAAAATCATCAATCGATAATCAAACCAAAATCAAATCAATCAATACGCAATCAATACATATTAAAATGATTGTAAACACTATTATAATTTATAAAATAAATATATACAGTTATCAATAAAGTATTTTACAATTGGTCCTTTACAAGGCAATCAATCAAAACAACCATCAAAAAAACAGACTCAAAAGAAAGTTTTTACGTTTGATTTTGTTTGACTTTGTTCTACTTGGATTTCTTGTATTTTTTTTTTGTTATTCTGGTATAAGTTGAATATTTGTAGTTTATTACCAGCAATGAGCTTTTGCGTAGATAATTTAGCTCGATCATAATGATAATTTGTCTCTAAAAGGTACGGTTGTGACAAATTATGTGGATACGGTTGTGACATGTAATTCTTGTCTTTGTTATAAACTATGTATAATATATAATTATAAACTTAACTTCAAAATTAAAAATGAATATATATGTCGTAAGTTTTGGAATACTAATATTTTTAATACCATTAACTTTAATAATACAGTTTCTTTTTGTCTAATGATAAATTGCTTTACTTTCGATGCATTATATAAAAATAATTGAAATGTGAAACACAACTAAAACGTTAAAAACGATTATTTGCACTTGAGTTTACATCTTTATAGTGATAATTAAAATATTAAATAGAAAATAAATAAACACATAAACAGAAAACAGATAAAACGAAGCCATATGAGTTTATAAATTTTAAAATATTATTACAATATAAATGCACAAGCAAAATTAAATACAATTTTAAAATAGCAAGTAACACAAGAAAACGATCTAAATTTCTCCCATCGTATATGTATTGCTAGTATGAATAGAATATTATGCTAAAATTTGTAGAGTAAAATGTCACTAAAGTTTTAAAGCATTATATAATTTTCTTTACGGCTATAATTTTTTTAGTTTAAAAAGTAAATTAACTTTGCTAAAGAAACCATACGACGCTTTGGTTTAAAAACCACTGCCATAGTGTAATATTAACAGAGCATATCATTTCTCAGATCATTAAGTTTTATAAAGACGATCCCGGACAAAACGTCGTTAATTTAGCATATATATGTTTCCATATCATCATTTAACTAACAGATAAGAGACTGCAAACTGAACTGAAACTGAGGATTAAGTCTTCATATAAAATGATTATATATTGAATCTAATGAATTGTACTCTTTAAGTAGAATTTTATTGTATTTGATTATAAATATTTAATGACATTTGGGCTATTATAAATGAATGTTTAGCGACCACTGGTTCTAGGTTTATTTCGTCCAGTTTGATATCAAGCAGATTCTGATATCAAAATATTCAATTATGGTAGAAATATGTTACAACTTGAGAGAACAACTACTGTTTTGCTTTCTAAGCAGTCATCTGTTGAAATAACAAAATAATTACTGAATGTTTTTATAAAAGACATGTGGTTATTCAGAAAAAAATAATGAGAAATGGAATTGTAAAGCGAGTAGAATTATATTATTCAATCTTCATTTAGATTATTTAAAATGTATTAGACTATTCTGACTGATTCTTTTTTCCAAAAATTAATGTTGTTACAATAACATTATTCTAAAAACAGTTAAATATGTTAAAATCATAATTCGCAGCAAAATATTTTTTTATGAAAGTGTTCTCGTCTACAGATAATACAGTTTTCCCATATATTCGACAATTGACTTCACAACAATTTCAATTACACAATAGTCACTAACGCAAGATTCCTGTTCAAACAATATATTTCGGTAGTATAATTCTGTTCAATTTGTTGCTGCTTCATATATCAGTATAGAGCGAAATAATAGTGTTTTGTTGTATGTATAATAGCAAAAGTTTGAGAAATTTTAATTAATTATTTGCTCAGTTATTGTTTTAACTGTTTTGTACAGTTTGGCGAAAAGTTCCGGCAATTCGTTCATATCTCGGCCAATTAGATAAAGTTGTACTTGTGCTTTTTATTTGTTTATTCATCACGAGCTAAAATGTTTTTCAACTTTGAAACGAACATTGCGGATGAGTTTTTATTTTATGTTGCTTACATCTCGCATTTATCAGGTCACAAATAATGCCAAAGTATAATTTATGTTTTCTCTTAATTTGGTATATAACACCAGATGAGTTTTTATTTCCTTTTACTTTTTTCTGACATTTATAAAGACACAATTAATATTAAAGTACAATTTGTTTTTTTTTAATTTGGTATTTAACAGTTTTCAATATATAATATTCTAAAATTTGCGCGGGTGGAAATGAAATGTATGTATTATCTAAAAGTCATCTGTAAAATTGACAGCGGGTGTTGTAGCTACACCGTGATATCAGGCTATTGTGATATCCGTTTTCACTTAAAAATATAGATCAAAAAATTAATTGTATATTAAAATAAAAATAATTTATGTGGTAGCTCAATGTAATTAAATTACAATGAATCTATGAAAAAAGTTGACTATTGTTGGTATAAAATTAGGGTATGTATCTACAACCACATACTCTAACGAGGCGCCTAGCTCAACGTGTTAACAAAAAGTTTTAGTTTTTTGAAAACTTCGGCAAAATGTGTTATTATATTTTCCTGTAATCATACAAATGTTATTCACGTTTATGGTTCCGAATTATAAATATACATATGTAAATTAACCACCATAACCAAAAAATCTTGAAATTTCACACTAAAGATCAAGGTGGCTCTTAAAAGCTCATAATTTCCAAGCAACATTTTAATTTTCCGTACGATAAGTAATTGTAATCGTCCAAAAATCAAAATTATTTTTTTACATTTCTTCGCGTTTCAAAGATTTCTGAACATTCTGGCATACCTCAGAAAAAATGAATGTGTTTGTGTGTATGTATGTATGGATACAATTTTTTGTCCACATTTTTGGGCACACGGATCAACTGATTTGAACGATGGAGATGTGCTGATTAGCTTTTGGCAAAGGCAGTTCAGCCTTTTCGGAGATACGGAACAAAGAGTGCAGAAAATATAATCGAGTTTTTGAGAGAATCGAGCATCCGATTTGAATGATCCAAAATTTCATTACGGGAAGTTCTAGCAATTTGCCTTAAGGCACGATGCCATACATCACTAGTTTTTTTCTAATTTTTTTCAGGGTATTATAGTCAATATTATCACCCCGTTTTAGCTAGGACACCCTGTATATAATAATATTTATTATGATAGAAATGACGCAATTAAATATTAACAAATTATCAACTAGCGTATAAGTATTAAAATCATTTATGTTTCCAATTATTTTAATTTAAATAATATTATATGATATAAATAATAATATAAATGATTCAAATAATTTCTTTTTTCTTAAACACGCTTTAATATCCAATAGCTATGGGATTATCTCACTGAGTATATATAAGATATTTCACCGAATAATGTCAACCTATATTATATACTTCTATAAAATTGTACATCTCGTTCATTTCTGCCTCCGCCTATCAAAATCTAGAATTTGTCATAAAAATTGATGATCTATCTACTCGACGAAGAAGCGAAAAGTTATTTATTTTTTTATTAGTTTGACTTGGAGCTATTACAAATACTTCACAGATTTTTATAATGCATTTATTTTACGATAAGAGCTTCGCAAGAGTAGTTTGAAATGATATATCGTCATCTAAGAATTATGGGCTATTGGGAATTGGAACCATAATTAGATTCTCGGGGTTCGGTAATTATCGAAATAATTGTGTGATTTCGTTTAATTAATATAATTGCGATTCACGTTTATATGATAACACTTCAAAACTTCGGCATATAAAATAGATTTGAATGAAAATATTCACAAATTAAGTATACATGGTATTTTCTATTTATAATCTAATCTAATTTATAAACTTTTATTTCTAACTTATATGAAATATCATATAAATTTTTATGCGATAATTATGCGATAGAAAGTTGAAATTTCGATATGGCCAATTATTTTAAATATTAATGATTTTTTATAATTAAACTCATTATGAGATAATGTTTTACGATGCTTGTTGAGACCATGAATCCTGTGCAAAGTTCGAAATTAGGAAAGAACGGCCAAGATGATCTTCACCGAAAACTAATCAGCACGATTTACAACTAATATCTTCTGAACAAGTTTTGTTATTTTAAATTCAGGATTTTTGTCTAAACTGTGTCTAATAATAAAGAAATGGCTTGACTGATCGTCGTACAAGACTAATCAATGCGAGTTCTTATCGAATTGCTTCTATATTTTTGAAATTGGTACAGTCGATGCAAAGTCAAAACAAGCTATTCAGAATTACTTTGATAAAACACCGAGAAAATATAAAATAAGTAGATCGGATTTCTGGCCACAATATAATGTAAGCCTAAAGTATACTGAGAGATTGATTCCAAAATATATTATGCAACTCATTAAATCCCAATGCTTTAAAACCCACAGTAATATTCTTCAGTCAACGGCTAAGACCTTAATATAATCCTAATTTAGAATATTCAGTACCAGATTATGTATTATAGTCATTTAATATTAACTTCTATTGCTGAATACGTACGCCGTTCAACAAAGGCTATTTCTGATAGCATTCATGAAAATTTGCTATTACTTGTGGTTTCTTAATTATTTCATTAGCTTATAGATCAAAATTTAGGAATTTTTATATTAAGTCAGTCGCAAACAATTTTGTAAGTGTGATATTTATTGGTCATTAAAGTCAAGTTATCAGTGAAGAATCAATTTTAACCCCAATTTCCACAGATTTATGTCACCTAAAAAAATAAAAAAATAGAAAATAATGATTAAAAATAAATTAAAAACAATAAAATACAGTAGTAGGAAAAATCAAGTTATAACCTACTACTTATTATTAAAACCAGTTTTTAGTAAGAAAATCGATATCACCATTGAGTAAATTCTGCAATACCATAAAAGCATGATCTTTAGAAGTTTTAATAACTGTAAGGTAGCATGGAATTTTTACCTAATTAATTTCCCATAGGGTAAGTTATAGTAATCGTAAAAAAATCGAAAATGAAAATTTTTGCATATCTTTACGTTTAAGACTTTCTTGAACATTTTGGCACACCGCAAAAAAATTGTTGTATGTATCTGTGTGTGTGTTTGTGCGTGCGTATGTTTGGATACGATTTTTCGTCCACGATTTTGGGAAACATGCTGATTAATCTTTGGTAAATGCAGGTCTAGTCGTTTCGAGCAAAACGTGTTATAAATGGTAGTTTATGAGAGAACGGAGCATCCAATTTGATTGATTCAAAAAATATTTGATTCGTATTGACTGGAAGATGAGATGATTAGTTTCTGGCAAAGGCAGGTCCAGCCGTTTTGTAGATACCGAGCCAAAAGTGCAAAACTTTGATCAGAATGCTTACCCTTTTAGTGCCGGGCGAAATCGAGGTGCCTATGCGAGAAAAACCGGCCGCCGACGATTTCACAGTTTTACAAGGGTTCGGGAAAATGCTTATAAATACCAAACGAGAAACGATATTTACATGATTCAAAAAGCTGCGTATTATAGATGAAATACAGAACGAAACAACGACACTAGTTTTTTGTACTCATTTGAGAATTATAGTAAAAACAAAGGTATATATGTTTTAAATGAAGTAAAAGTTGAGTTCTCTCGTACAAAACGTGTTTGCACATACAAACAGCCATCTTTTCACCACAATTTTATATGGGTCAATTATAATGAAGCATATACTTTGTATTTCCAATATATTTTGTAACAAGATAAACAATATTACATAACAAAAATAAAACATAACTTGAAGGTACACGGTAGGCGCCTGGCGGATTATCTCTTTCGAAATATGTAATTGTTATCGGTAATATAACATTGCTGAAACAATTATTTGTTTTCATAAATATTTATATTTATATATTGCAAATGTGTAAAATTTTGTTATTGCAACTCAAACAAATAATTTATTTAGCATTCGTGGCTACTAATGCCACTCCATGCAATCCTTTGTTGCACTTATTGCAAACTATGCGTGATTTTCTCTTTGGGCCATCATCCTTTCTGCTGCACACCACGCAAACCCTTTCCAGTTTTCCAGGCAGTTTCCGTACTTTACCATCGGTGTTTATGTTAGACTTCGGTACCTCCAAGCGATAGGAAAAGGTCGTCGTCCACAAAGAGTTAAAACGAAAAACTATTTTTTTTAATTCTCTCATAGTGAAATTAGATCATTTATAACGTATTACAAATTTATTTTGAGTTCTCCCGCAATGCGAATAGTAAAGCGATATATCGGCTCCCGGCACTCAAAGGGTTAATATATAAGGCGGTCCTGGGACAAATACCGGTATAATTGGGAATATTAAAATAACGATCAAAATTTCCTAATTCTTTTTGATAAATAATAGTGAAGCCAACTGAAAAATACATAAAATATTTATAATGTCCGGTTGTAGTAAAAGCTTCTAATACTTCAATTTCACTTTTTAATATGTCTTTATTTTTCTAGGTATTTTCATCAGCGCGTGTATATTTTTCAATGGGTGGCCGACGCTACGCCCCTCAACCAGTGAGATACGCTTACATGCCCGATCCGACCCTGGAATCGGCCCGCACTGTCGTAGTTAAGCTGCACCACAGAGTGGGACGTTACGTGAAATTGCAATTGCATTTCAGAACGCGTTGGATACTACTCAGTGAAGTCTCATTTGATTCAGGTGGGTTTTGTGCGTATGCAAACGTTATTGTTACTATTGTAATGACAAAATTGAACCAAATACTGAATATACATGTATATACATATATAGGGTGTCCGAAAACTCTACGTCAAGCCAAAACTATGTGACAATGCACTTTAAGAGCTATTAGTTTTCAAATAAGACCTAGAGCTTCCTTATTTTGTTTTATTCTTATTTTTGTTCATTTGCACTTTAAAACTCTAAGTAACATTTTCAGGACCACAGCCAAAATTATGGCATAACTGCTCAAGTTTGACAAGCTTGTTAAACTATAAATTTAAAATTCATAAAATTGATTGCTCTTGTCCTAGTGGGATTTGGCATTCGAGTGGAGAGTTAAAAGTTTACGATCCATTTCTTTGTAGTTAGTGAAAGTTTGCACACTAATATAAGGGTTCTTCATGGTCATGACGAACTTCATCAATATTACAAAACTGTACTAATTATGTAAAATCGTTTAAAGTTTGAAATAATGAGTCCTGTCAAAGTTCCAGAATTTTATCATAAGGATTTTTAAAAGTAGCTTAATCTAAATTTGGGATCATGTAGATTGGTGGGGATTACTCTATTTATTAAGCAGACTGTAAGTAAGAATTATTTCATCGTAGTGAATAAAACCACTCTTTATTTTGCAATATTTGTGTATCTTTAAATTTTATGCTAGTTTCTCTCATTCCTTGTGCTAAATTATAAACTGATAATAAAGTACAGATATTATTTTTGTTATATGTACATCCTGTAATCCGAAGGATTTTGGGTTGAATGCCATAGCACTTAGTCAAATCTTGACCATTTATTAACACATTAGGATTTTTTTATTGTTTATTGACTTTGTAATCTGATGCATTGGTCATTTTTAACTATACATAGACACTTCATATAATATATTTTAATTATATATATATATATATATATATATATGCTTTAATTATATATATATATATATATATATATATATTATTTATTATTATTTTTAATGAATGTTGGGAAGATTTGTAACTTGCGTGAAGGCAGAACGTCATTAACACCTAGCTATAACAATATAAATAAGTTATCTTGAAATCCATATCATTTTTAAATCCTTAGGGTTGTGTTTAACATGCAAAGTTTCTGATATCCCTTAATTGGCAAAGTTCCAATTATACATGGAAATGCGAGTATGTATTTATAAATAAAAATGACCATGATTAAAAAATTTTTACTTACTTTTGCGTAGGAAGTTTGCTTTAACGACAAATCTGATTTGCGAATTTTAAGTTTTTCAACGTTTAAAGTCATTCTGAATCCAACGAGACCAACTTTGGCAAAAGTACATATGTGTGTATGAGTATGTGTACGCATGTATGTAAGTCGATTTTTGACCTTTTGTTGATGTTTTCTTAAAAACGGCTGAACCGATATCAAAAATTTAAATGTCATTCGATGTAACTCGATAAGGACTATTAAGATGGACATGAAAAAACACGTCAGATTGGCCGAGCTGTTTCTTCTTAATTAAATATTGTCATTTTTTCGCGATTTTGATGAAACTTTGTTTAACAAGAGATTTCATAGTCAAAAATAATATACTAATATATTGTAGGTCGATTAGCGGTTGAATTGTAAAATTCAATGAATTATAATCAAAATCTACATTTATTAATTATTAATATATATTATTATTAATTAATAATAATTAATTATTAATTATAATTAAAATCTACTATGTCGAAGCATCAGTACAGTACGTTGTGTGGTTTTTAGTAGTTAGCTACTAATTGCAATTGACGTCCACACTTCACGTTCATACAATTTCAGAACACGAAATGAAAAATGAAATATTTTACACGAATTAATTAAATTTACACAATTACAGATTTTATAAGTATGTTTCAAAGATGTCAAATGAAATTGTTTTTAGTGCCAACATGTTCATTTTCGAAATAAACAGTTGGCTTGCATCTATAAATAGCTAATTTTATTTCTTATTAATGAAGTTGATTATTAGCGTGTATCGGAAACTTTATTCAACTTGCATTACCAGTTTACATTTTTATTCACATTTAAATGATTTTTTTATATTACCATACAATTTTAAATTCGAGTAATAAGATGATATTGAAAATGTTATGAAGCAGCTGCTGCGCTATGCAGATTAAGAAAGGCGAATGAAACTATGGTGTAAATTAAATTAGAGTATTCAAACTATATATGAAAAGTCAAGTGAGCAGATACCCAGTTTATCACGAAATGTTATATTAATCCTGGTATAGAGCAAAACGTGCGCGATGTTGTGAACTCATCCCTTATCTCGTAATAACTAATGTATCATTCGGAAACAGTATATACGAAGCCAACTAACGAATTTACTCACACGTACCGCGCTCCGACCGCAACACCATGATTAACTCAACCCTCCCCTAGCGCCCCGTTCGGGCTTATTCCGACGACGAAATCAACGGGGTAATACGGTCACTTTAAACTGCATTCGACCAGGGCACTATTTCAAAACGTAGATGTAGATTTGTGTTACTGATATGGGTCAAATGATTGCCAGATCCTCGTGCGTGTGACCTCCTCTTGCAAAAATGTAACAAAAACCAATAATTTTGCCATCTACACATAACCATCTCATCTAATTCACTATTTGCATAGGACAGGGCGCGGAACAAAGGTCCAATTACACTTTGAGCAATCATATTGTGAAAACCAAAACAATTATCTTAAAAAATAACACATACTAAACAAACAATTGTTCGAATATGTTCAGTGCAAATCCCAGCTCATTCATCATTCTTTAAATTCGTTTTTTTGCTGTTTTTCAAGAAGTTGTATCCTAGTCCTTTTAACTAATGTTTTATTTTAATTTTAAAGGGTTTTTATTAAATAATAGCTACATTATTCAACCAAAGCAAAATATAAATTTCATCGGTGCATTTTTAACAGAGTAAACATTATATATAACCTTGAACTGGTATTTCGTCAGATATATTCATCAGAAAAGTTGGAATAGTTTTTCTTGTAAAATTGCTTATTTTAATCCACTTTACTTTTTTATTTGCAATTTTTTATTTTTATACCTTTGCCATAGTAAAGGTTTAGTTGGTCTCTTTCACCACACCCAGGTGTAAGCTTTTGTAAAGATTATATGAAAAATACTGTTGGATTTAACTTAAAATTAACAATGCATCTCATAGAAGAATTAAGGGTTACAACACGAGTTTTTATAAATACAGTTTCGAGATAATCGCGTTTAAAGATTCAGTAAAGGAAAATGACCAGTTTTAGCTACTTACCGATTAATCTAAAATCTCAAGTCCATACAATAGCCCTTTTTTATCTTTAAAAAGCTGTAAGTTGTTGTTGTTTGCGAGCCGTACGAGCATCTTTTATTTGTGAAAGGCTCCTACGATCCTGTCAAGTTATTCGCGCCTCATCAGTATTAACAGCATATGCTTTAGCATAAGTAACAACAGTCAAATTCAGAAGGTTCATTATTCTTAATATTGAACTAAAATCTTCATTAAATATCCTAGCTGCAATATATGGTGAAATTTCAACTACTCTTAGTCCACAATGTGGGTGTTTTGGTGATAGTCGCTAAACTGTCGCGTTGAAACTTTCATTCGCGTTCTGCGTATGATCACCAAGGCATCGTTCAAGTAAATCATCTTCGGACAAATCTTCATAAATTGGTGAAAGATGCTGTTTCATTTCTTTACCAAGTAATGGAGCTAAATCTACGTCTAGAGGATCTTGACCACTGGCACTTTCATTATGACTTGTACTGGCGTTAATTTTATCACCTGCTTTATCAGTAAACTGATTGCCCTGATAACATCTTTTTTAGTGTTATTTTGTGCAATATTACTTCGCTTACCTTTTAGATAATTTGGCATTTTTACGTATTGAAATGAACTAAACACTACGAATTTTCCAACTAAACTAGCTATATTTCTCGACTAACTTTTGTTCGTATACCAATATTACACATGTACTAAGGTACAAAAGTCTTCCGGTAGTAGGACAAAAGAAGTATTTCTAGTTTTTATTATAATAAAAGAGGCCCTTTCACTTGAACCTTAACAATACGCTTGACAATGCGCACTCCGACCCGCCCCGTTATGTTAGCTATAACTTTGGTAATATAAAAGATTTTTTTTCGACTCGTCAATATACGCTCAACATACTATACTTGCAGATTATCGAAAAAATTAATTTTTTGAAAATTTTATATGGACTTCCCCCCTTAAATAACTAATAAATAATGCAATATCCTTTGAGCTATTTGGTTTAACTATATGTATATATTATGAGTGTGTGCGTGTGTGTATATATTTACTCGTATGTTAGATGTATTCTACATTGAAATTGAGTAGCAGCTTTAGCGCTTTACCATTAACTCGACATAACTTAAATTGTTCATTTTAACGGCAATATAATTAAATGGCTGCGCGCTTTAATAATCGAAACTATAAAGATATACTGCTTTGCCATCGTCGCGCAGACATTACATTAACTGAACAGGGTTGGGTTCTGAAAATTCATAAATAGTGAAACAAACACTTTTTGAAATTAAATTATTTACACCATCATAGAAAATTTAAAATTATTTTCATACTATCTTAGACTTGACATAACTACCTTGACGAGTTCTAACGATTCGTGTTAAGAAATATGATCTCATTGGGATTCTAGGTACTCTTAGCTATTATACCTATACTAAGTCTTTAAGCATATTTTAAAACCTTTCTAAATTCATTAGGACTTTTCTAACCTTGAAGAGATTTCTTATACCTGTAACATTGTAGAATCGTTCAACATATAATTTTATAGATAATTTTATAGATATAATTTTATGCTTATTCGTCATTAAAACTAATTATGTAGTAATATACCTATATATCATATAGTAGTAACATACCTAATAGTATATACATTATTTCGGCAATAAAATATCCTTATTTTATGATAATGATCTCTTCACTTATTACTAGTCT